AAAACCTGCCAGAAAAACTTCCGGGCTTGTCTATGCAATCACTCAACTCAAGACTGCTCAGGCGCACACATTGGGAAAGGCCTGGAGGCAGGAAGTTTATCTGACATCCCCAATACACCCATCCTTTCTTCTCCCTTTGAAATCAATAGCCCAGTAAGTGGTAGTCTATAAAGATCTCCAAATACTGAAACCTTGATTTCACTCTCCTGCCAAGGATGTCAGTAGTGAACAACATTCGGGAAGGAGCCCGGTCCGCTTAGGGAGGAATTGTTTTGCCAAGAGTATTGGCAGTACAGGCCCGGCTCTTACCGAGGAAACCAGAATCCTGCCGCCTAAAGATTGGGCCGGGCCATGCGCCGCAACCGCCAACGATTTTCTCCCAAAATGGCCACCCGAGCTCTTTCAGCTTCCTCTCTTTCGCGCCAAAGAGAGAGCAGGCATCTTTCGGGCCCACGCCTGAGCGCCGTGACCAAAACGCCTGGCCCAGATTCGGTGTCTCCCCCCTCCCGCCATGCCCGCGCAGCAGGGGGCTCCGGTTTCACTTCTTGCCCGGCAAGCCGCTTACAACAGTGGGAGCCATCAGCAGTTTTGTCGGCCGGGTGATGGTAAATAGGTTTGACTAGCCGCTGATCCCGGGGTCAGATCTCTCCGGTTTGCTTAATCCCACGCTCTGCAAACACTCTCATTCATCCCCCCCCTCCCTCCACTTTTCGCACCGCTGCCCTGCCCTGCCCTGCCCTGCCTCCAGCCCTGGAGCTCCCGCCCCCCAGGCCTGAGGCGCTCAAAAGAAGGAGCGCCGCTATCCATCCGCGGAGAGCCTCGCCACTTACCTCTGGGGAGAGCCGGTGCAGGGAAAGGAGAAGGCCTCCCGAAAAGCCATGGAAGGGGGTCCCAAGAGACGAACGGAGTGGGGAGTGGGGACCCCGGAGGGAAGTGAGCGCAGCCAGACTGCGGGGGGGGGGGTGGCCAGCCCAGGCAGGCCCAGACTGAGTTACGGGAGGGGTGGTGAAGGAAAACGTGTGGCTGGGTCGAGACTCAGCTGCGACAGCGCTGGGAAGGATTCTTTTCCATGGGATCACCGGCCCCAGCCGTTCAGTACGCTGAGGCGACGGGAGGGTTCGGTAGCAAGAAACAGCCGCAGGGCTTAAATTGCTGCGGCGAGGTGTTCCTTCACTCCCGGGGAAGTCGAGGCCTGCCTGGGAGACTTTTGCCTGATTTCCCCCTTGGGTTCTCCTTGGCTCTATTTACTCTGCGGATTAGGGAGGGGGAGGATCAACAGCAACACCCCCGCCCGGGGCTCTCCCTAGTTACTCTCTCGGTTGGTGTGGCAGGAGGTCTCCGCAATTTGGGCAAGGGTACTAAAAAAAAGTTCTACGAAACGGATTGCAAATCAGGAGAATCTTTTAAAAATGAGCGGATAACGAGGACTGCTCTTGGGGAGAAGACGCGGTTCGGCCGGGGGGGGGGGAGAACGGTGAAGTTGGAAACGCGGCCCTCAAAACTGGCGAAGGTATCGATCGGCCCTTGTCGTAGGCAGCCCCAAGGGAGGCTCTCGTTTCCCTGGCCGTCAGCCCCGCTTCGGGCAAAGCTTTTCCGCACCACTAGCCTCTTCCCACCAGGCGCTTCTGGGAAAGGAGATGGACTTAGTAACGAGGGCAGGGCAGCGCTGATTTGGCGTGGGAAAGGCGCTCTCGGAGATAGTAGAAGAAAGGCGAACGCTGAAGTTTGGGGAGATCGCAGAAGGACGGGTGCGAGGGTCAGAAAGCGAAGGGCTCCCAAGAGAACGCCGAGAAAGAGAATCTGGAAGGATTAAACCGATCAGGCACTTTGAGAGCAGAGGAAAAAGATTCGGGAGGGTTAGTCAAGCTGCAAAGGGGATAGTGGCTTGGGGCGTTAATTCAACTCACACAAGATCTACTGTATCGCGTCCTGGCGGGAAATTGTTGATGTCAGGATAAATAGAACAACTTTCAGGCGCAGAACTTTGTCACGGGAAGGGCCAGAGAGGGTTACCTAACTGCTAATTATGGAAGGCACATCGACGTTTACTGCGCGCCCGAATTCGGTTCTTCTTTTCTTCTTGGCGGTCTGCTGTGGTCGGCAAGAAAGGCTGGGAAAGGGCAGATTGGTCGCCCCTCCCTACCCCTTCCCTCCTGACCCTCCCCCGTCCCAAGCGCTCCGGCTGGGGCTTCATTGTGCGTTTTTCACGGTTCTCTAAGCAAATCTCACAGTGTTCCCACCTCCCACTTGGCTAAGATAAGATCTGAACGGGCCAGAAAGAAGGCTGTCTGATGGAGAGACAGGGCAAGGGAAGGGGCTGCTTGAAATTCGACTTGAGGTTGTCCCTGGAGCAGCATTTGCGAGTTCTCATCCGTGCCCGGAAACGCCCTTCGTCCTCCAAAACAGCAAACTCAAATCTACCTGGGAGCGCTGGATTTGTTTGCGAGCTAAGGTGCTGCGCTTTCTCCTTGGCCTGAGGTTTTGACCTCCTCCTCCTCCTCCCGGATGGAGCGCGAGAGAGAAGCCAGCCGAGGTCGGTGGGGGTATTGTTCTCGTTCCCCACTACAGTCCCGAAGCATGGGTACCCGAGCTTCTCAAAGCCACCGTCCCTCACGCTTCGTTGCCTCTAAGTTGATCTGGAATAGCGTCTCGGTATCACTGAAGAAGCAGCCTTCAGTTGAAAGAAACCCACTCAGGTGGTTTTAATAGATTTGCCAGTCAAACTGCAGGGTGAACAATTCTGCATATCCAAAGGAAAAATATTTAAAATAGAACAATCGTTTACAATTTAGTTTAGTTGTCTCTATTCACTCAATAACAGGCAATTTCATTAAAAAAAAACCTTACTTCTAACTTTATTATTATTAGGATTTATTCTATGAGGATTAGAAAGATTTTTTAAAAAAGAAACAGACACTAATTGTTCAGACACAAACTGAAGAAATCTAATAAAGGTAGTATTTTTTCTCATATCATGACCATTAGTAATACAGGGACACTGGGCAACCAAAGCTAAGTATTTTCTAGTCCAACTAATTGTAGTTGGACAATCAACAAGCACACTTTTCCTTATTTCCCAATGGATCATTAACGTACTATACTTTGGCTCGAATTGTTTCTCTGTAATATCAGTAAAGTTAAATGTTTTAAGGGTTGGGGGTATATTTGAATTAGGAGGTTAATTGGAATATATTAATAGCGCCACAGATGTTATTACGGTATAACACCCAGAACTAATGCTCAGAACAAGAGATTTGAAATACCAAACCTGATGCCAGAATGTGGAGGTAGTACATTTGGTATTTAACCTTTCCCCATCCACCTCTTCCCTCACCCCACCTCCCCCAGTTCCCGGAGTGATTTGCATGCAAAGGGAAATGCAGATTACTTTCTCAAACGCTAAGAGGTTTATTACATTTCTCTACAAAATCAGATCTGGATCTGACAGCTGCCAATTTAACGAACTGTAGCTGAAGATCCTTCAGAGATTATTTGCACAGATTGCAAGCCTCTATACCTTGTGAACAGGTGTATTGAAGTAAAGGTGCAATTTTGGAATGTTTCTGTCTTTCTCCATCTTCTCAAGCAACACAGTGAAATGTGACAGGGAGAGAGAAAGCGCAGATCAAGCACCAATTGATTTATCCAGAAGAAACAGCCTTTCTTTGGCAGAATCTCGGTTGGGAAATGATACATAAATCCACTGATGTCACAAAAGTACCACTTCAAAGCATTTACCTGCGGTACTGGGGGGCATCAGAGAAAAGTGTGTGTGTGTGTGTGTACAGGGAAGAGGTAGAATTAATCGAAGATCAAACTTGTACTGAATAAAATAAGCAAACAAAATGGAAATATATTTTATTTCCTTTTAAAAAACAAACAAAACCCCCAATCTATAAAGAAAACTAATCATTTAAATGAAGATGGCTATTGCTTAGACCGCAAAACAATATAATGTAAGCAGTTTCTAAAAGAAATCCAATCAGTCAGCTCTTGCGGTTGTTAACCACATCACTTCAAAATAAATGTCCCTGAAACCAGAGGAGCTTACTTCTAGAAAATGTGTGTGGCTTCTCATCTGTCAAAGGTTTTACTCTGGAATAAACTGGCAACTACCCAAGGATTTCATAGAGATTTAGTAGAGATTATTTCTGAGTAAGTTGTTTCAGGAACTGCAGGCAATGGACACAAATAAAATATGAAATATTTACTTTATCCAATATTTTTCCTCTGGACTTCATTGCCATCCCCCACTCAGGCTATTAACAGGCATGATTTCTTTATATGTTTTCTTTCTTTTTCAAGTGGAAGCAATAATTATAATCTGCAACCTAACCTTTGACTTTAGTATTCTGTCAAGTTTAATATCTAACTTCATTTTAAATTAAAATTTGAAACATTTAAAAAAACAGAAATTTCTGCAAACAAATATATTATTTGAATGTAACAGCATTTACCCTCTCCCAAAAGGTCATTTTGCTGTGGCAATATAGAAACCATTTTTAAAAGTTAGCTATCCTTCATTGTGTCTAAACTTGATCAATATTCATACAAGAAATTGCTTTTCATCTAAATACCACAAACACAGTGTGGAGTGAAAGAAATTGGGAGCTGGGGGAGACAGAGGCATTATCCAAACTTTTTAAAAAACTGGTGCTAACTAAAGAAACAGAAGTTAGACAAAAACTTATTTATGTTTACCAAGCAATTACATAATTTAACAAAATAAATGAAATACAGTCTAGAAATGATTTACTGCATTGCCTTCTTTAGCCATACTGCACAGGTATTAAAATAATATCCCAAACCTACACCACTTTAAAAAAAACCCACTTCCCTCCCTTTGCTTTTTTTTTTAAATCTACCGTTAATATTTTTAAAAAATAACATGGTGGCAAATATATTTAATACTCCTTCCTCTTTCTATTTTTTCCCCACAACAACCCTGTGAAGTAAGTTGGGCTGAGAGAGAGTGACTGGCCCAAAGTAACCCAATCGGTTTGGGACTAGAACTCAGTCTCCTTTTTGTAGCCTGGCGCCTTTAAATCACTAGATCTAAACTGCTTTAAAATAAAAGCCATAAACGTCTACCCCATGTTTTTGTTCTTACCGCTCTTTTCCATTTATATTTATACATACAAAGTGTCCAGTTTAAAGGCATGTCATGAATTAGTATATTTTGGATCACCTGGTTCCAATTTTATTTTGAAATTGATTTAACTCAGAATCAAACTTATCTTTAGATTTTTATTTGTTTTCTTCTTCAGCGAAAATGCTTTTTAGTAAACTATATACACATTTATGAATTCCCTTTTAATGCCTAAAATTAATTAAAATTATTCCACAATGCATTTACAAGAAAAAAATATAAAAAGTTACCAAAAGAAAAAAGCAGACATAAGAAACATTTACAAAATTCAGAATATTGTTCTTGATCATGAAACAAAAACTCTTATAAATAAACAGAACCAAAAGAACCCTGCTTTATAAGAAGCACCCCAAAAAGTTTTAAGATGGTTCTTGACTTTATTTTTTCTTTACTTAGACTTTAAAATCTTCACAAGAAGTTGCCCCAATAGAGACCAGTTAATGCTTGTATATGGCAAAGAAGTTGGCATCACCTAAACCTTTGAATTATTAATAATAATTAGCATTTTCTTCTCTCGGTTTCTCTCACGATACCCGGACTGCTTAGTAAATAAAAAAGGCTATGTGATTTGTGGGTGAATGATAAATACTGTACAAAAGGGAAAAAAATCTCAGTTAAAACACAGTTCGTCTAAAACAACAACAACAGAAGGAATAATAACAATAATAATAACCCCCCACTGGTTTCAAAACCTAGTTCTTTGGGCTGAGGGAGACACGAGAAGGAGTTAGCATTACAGCAACCTGTTACCTTTTCTCTTCATTATCCTTTGTACTATGAATGTTTGTTATAATAATAATAATTATAAGGACTTCAAAGCATCGCCCTGGTTCTGTACAAAAGGGACTGCGGGGAAGAATTGGGAAAAGGGATGGCGCAGAGGGAGCCAGCCCGCTCCAAGGACCATATCCCCTTTGGCTGCAGTGGCGGCGGCGGCGGCGGCGTCCATGCTTCGGTCCGTCTCAGATGTGCGTCAAGGGCACGGTGCCGTTCACCCCTGCGCCGGTGCCTTGATAGTGCTGGGGTAAAGAGTGGAGCCGGCTTTGGGCAGCGGCGGCGGCTGCAGCGGCGGCTGCGGCGGCTGCTGGGTCCCCGCCTTCGCTGCCAGGCAAGTACATACTGATCATTTCGCGCAGATCCCCAGGACAAGGGGCCCGTGAGTGCGCTGAGGTGACGGGAGGGCTCACGCTAGGCTCGGATTTGACCAAGGACCCCAGCGCGCCCAGAGCTCCTGACGAGGCGGCCGCGGCAGCTGCGGCAGCCGCGGCGGCTGCAGCAGCCGAGTTCTGGTGTGATTGGGCGCCGTAGATACCGCCATAGGCCGACGGCGAGGCGCTCATGTAGCCCTGCGAGTTGGAGATGGGGCTGTACTGGAGGGCGCCCATGTCGTAGCGGTGCATCGGCTGGGGATTGTGCGGGTGCGGGTGATGAGCGTGGGCGTGCGGGTGGCCACCACTGCCTGGGTGCTGGCTGTAAGCGAGCTGTGCCTCTTGCATCATCGCCGCCGCTGCCGCCGCCACCGAGCCCGGGTACGCGCCGTTAGCCCAGCCGTTCATGTGCGGGTAGCCGCCGCCTGAGCCTCCGCCACCGCCGCCGGCGTTCCCGCCACCCCCGGGGCCACCTCCGCCGGGACTCTCCAAGCGTTGGACGCCGGCGGGGCTCACTCCTACGCCCATGGCTACCGGAGGGCCGCCGCCGGGACCACCGGCTCCTAGCAGCCCGCCGGCCAGCGAATATTTGTCTTTCTTTAGCAAAGTCTTGGTCTTTCTCCTCGGCCGGTATTTATAATCCGGGTGCTCCTTCATGTGCAGCGCCCGTAGGCGCTTGGCCTCGTCGATGAAGGGTCTCTTCTCCGCTTCGGACATGACTTTCCACTCCGCGCCCAGGCGCTTGGAGATCTCGGAGTTGTGCATCTTGGGGTTCTCTTGGGCCATCTTCCGCCGCTGGCCCCGCGACCAAACCATGAAGGCGTTCATGGGCCTCTTGACTCGGTCTTGGTTGGCCTTGGGTCCTCCGCCGCCGCCGCCTCCTCCTCCTCCTCCTCCCGCACCGGTTTGGCCCGAAAGGTTGGTGGTGACCTGGGCTCCACCGGGCGAGTGCATGTCCGCCTCCATCATCATGCTATACATTCACGCAGTTTGCTAGGGGCCACCAGGCTCCACAATGTCAAAACATAGAGCAAAGGAGCCGGGCGTCTGCCGAGCGGAAGGGCGAAGCGAAAGACAAGACGAAGGAGCCCGGGAGAGAAGACGAGGTGCTGAGGCGCAAGAAATGGTAGAAGAGTGCAGTACGACGATCAAAGGTAAGGAGGAGGAGGAGGAGGAGGAGGGAGCCCCCAAGAGTCTGCCTGTGGGGGCACTTCGGCTGGTCCCTGCGAGCTTGAAGAAAGAGCGGGAGCGCGCGCGCGGGAATCTCCTCGGGCGGCAGCAAAACTTTCTTCCTCCGGGGACCGCCTTGGCCCCAGGCAAACAGCGGCTACGAAGGCGGCTCGAACAGGTGCAAGGCAGAGAGCTGGGTAAAGAACGGCCAAAGTCCCGCAGCTGCACCGCGCCGGGGAGAAGGGAGGAAATGGGAGCCCAACTCTCAACGTTTCTTTTCCTTCTCTCGCCTGGTACACGCGCGCTTCGCAGGCAGGACTCCCCTCCTTCTCGCCGCTGCCGAAGTGATCTAATGGCCCCCCCTTCTCTGCTAACTTCCACCGGCAGAGAGGCAGAGGGGAGGGAGGGAGAGCGTGGAGGGAGGGAGGGAGCGTGTGTGACTCGCATCCGCCGGTCCCAAGTGAACGGAGGGGAAGAGACAGGAAACCCCCCTCCCCCTCTATCACCTCGGCTCCCCGCAAAATTAAAAGGGGGGGGAGAAAAGAGACGTAATTAAATGATAAGCACCGAGGGAAAAGAGGAGGTGGGAGAAAGAAAGAGAGAGAGAAAGGGCGGAAAAGAAAGGAAGGAAGGAAGGATGGAAGGAAGGAAAGAGAGAATATAGGAAGAAGAGAAGGGGAGGAGAAAAGAAAGAGCCTCCAGCCAGGGAGCAGAACTTGCACAACAATTTGTTCTCGGTGGTTTCCCTCCTCGCGCCCGGAGGAACCAGGAAAGGAGGAGCAGCCGAGAGATTCGGCGAGAGACGAGCCCAGCAGCCATACAAGGCGCACCGAACTGGGATTAAATGAGTTTGCCTTGGCCAATGGGAGGGCGCCGGCGGGGGTTGATTTGCATGGCGCAATTGAGGAGTGACGTCCGGAGGTGAGAAGTACAAACTCTTCTGGAGCCTGGCAGGGAAGGGCGGGGGCGGAGAGGGTGTGAATCTCTGGGCGGGGCCAGGGAAGAGGTCAGAGCCACCATTAAAACTCTACCCAAGCAGGAGCTGCGGCGACAACAACAACAACAACAACAACAAACAACAACAACAACAACAACAACTGAAGTAAGCGGCAATAGCCATCAATTACCACAATAGCCGCATCAATTGCTATAATAACCTTTTGGAGGTCATATGCCACAAAGACCAGCGATTCTCATTGGAATCAGGATTCAGGCAGCATTTTACCCACCGCCACATCGAGCTGTTCGAAATTTGAAATGCGCGCGCGGCATATACAGTCGCGCGCACAGACACACAACACACACAGGCGGCAGTTTAGCCGACGCAGCGCGCATCTCAGCGGGGAGAGGATAGCGTTCACAAGTGGATGGGTGGAAAGTTTGCAACCTGCAAATATAATTTTGCTCCCAAACTGGAGTTTGTATCTAATCTCAGAAAGGTTCTTTTTCTCTTTTTATCCATTCCTTTCTTATGGCTCTCTGTGTATGTGTGTGTGTTTGTGTGTGTGTGTCTGTGTGCGCGCGCGCCCCGGCTACTCCTAAAAAAAGGTGGTGGGAAAGATAAAGTAAACTTTTAGATTAACCCTGTGGGACAACTTAAAGGAGCAGACCCCTGTTGTATGGAAGAAACATGGAAGAAGGGCTCATTGAACCTGATTATTGGAAGTGATGAGAAGGGCACTGCCAACTAAATATGTGCTGCACAATCTTTTATGAACATTATGAATGAGAGGTGTGTAATGGTGCTATAAATAATTATCAGGTAAACTAGTTAAAACTATTTTTTTAACTCTGTTTGAAATCTGATAGTTAACTTTAAGAATAAACACAGAGAGGTCCTTTGTATGTTTTATTGGTAGTAAGTCTTGAATCATTTAATTGCCCAAATAAATTAAGTTGAAGTCCTAAATTGAAGTCCTAAATAAACTCTTTCTCTGATTCATATCTTGATTGCAGTAACGGATTTTTTCTTCCTGGATGATCATGTTAAAATTGTGTTGTTCTACTGCCTCTCTTTTGTTCATAGGGAACAGGAACCAAAGAGAGGCAGTAGAAAAAACAAGTTTATAGGAACACTTGTTCAAGAAGAAGCATTTTTAATAATAGAAAACTAGCACTCATAATCGAACTCAGTATTCAGAGATACACATCCTCAAGATAGCATGCACGTTCTTGTAACGCCTGTTATAGTTTACAGTCATTCCAATCTCTGCAGTTAATGAAATAGTTTATCAAAAATGTTATGGCTTCGAGAGACTCAGCTCTAACCCTCCAGGCCTACTATCTAAACAAGGTGTGCTATTATAAGATGGCACTATTAGGATTTTACTTCAATAGGTATGAAAGTTGTATTTGTGTGTTTGCATCTCACTGGCCATTTGCTACCTGAAAATATTTTCCATTTTTTTTCTTCAATTATCGACTTTTGAGAACTTTTGGCACAGTCAGTCTAAATGAATACTAAGTAGTTATGCAATAACAAAGTATAACTATAGAGTGTCGGATAATTCCTTTTGCATTCCATTACTTTCAAAAAGTTGCTGTTTTCAACTTTTTCACCCCATTAAATTGATAACTCATCTGTTAGTATTCTGATTAAAATACAACTGGAAATTATTATGATTATGGTTGATGCAACAAGATATAAGTATATTTAACGGTTTTCAAGTGAATTTATAATTGTAACTAAATCAATAGTACCAATATATTGCTTTATATACCTAAATACATGGTTCCATCTTTGAGCAATATATGCAGTGCTAGGAATTTTCATATCGTGAAACATACATATTCCCCTAGCAGAAGGTGGCTTTCCTCAGAATCTGTCATTTCATACCCTCAGGGGTTTTCCATTCATTGCCCAATCCACCCATTTACTTCTACAATATTTCTATGGTGCCGTTCTTTTCTTAATGTACACAGCCTCATATAATGTTTGTTACATTATTTCCACCTTGGAAGGCTGAACACAAATAGAAAATAGGATATATTTCCTGGGCAATTGTCTTTTGCACCAGATGAAAGACCTCTGAAGAACCATGAAGTTTCTCTATTTGCTGCTGTGGAAACTATCTCATTGGAAAAGAGCATTCTGTAGGGAGGCAGATTACCCTGACCTGATATCTTCCAGATTTGTACAGCTTCCAGAAGTCCAAGGTAGGATGATCATAAAATATTTAGAATAGGATCTAAAGGCAGGTTGGAACAATCATGGCAGTTAGCACTAAAACCAAACTAAATAATCTCCCCACACCTAATGTCTTTCAAATTGTCAAATTTCAACCTTTACCATTGTCAGCCAGGATGGACAGTCACCATTTCAGAAGGTCTAAGGACTAACCTAAATATTCATTCATTCTGGATCCTCACTTGATAGGTGAAAGAGCTTAGCACTCAGTGTGGAATAATTATTCCAATTATTCAGTGTGGAATATTAAAACTGAAAATATAAAAAATAAGCTGTAAAAGACACTATTTATCTTATTCTGAAGATAGGGAGGCAGGGAGAGAGAAAGAAAGAGAGGATGGTAGAGGGAAAGGAGGCAGGGAGAGAGAGAAAGAGAGAGAAAGAGAGAGAGGGGGGAAATGAATGCATTGAACTGAACCTCCA